TTCAGTGTTTGAGTAGAGATCACATTGCTAGAGTAATCAGAATGCTTTATTTCAATTTTGGGGTTGTTTTTTACCATTGTTTTTAACTACTACAATACTAACTTACTGAGCTTCCTACTTCCTTTGTTTGGGGCTGTTTTGTGGGGGTTTTTTTCAGTTGAGTATATTAAGGCATTCATCTCTTAAAAACCTTCAACACAGTTTCTACGTAATGTTGATCTGGTGGGGGTTTCCTTGGGCTGCCAGGCTGCAGGAACTTCTTAATTGTAGGCACATTGCTCACTCTTATTTTAAAAGCCTAAAAAAAATAAAAACAATAGTGTAAAAGTTCAGCTACTTCAGTAGCAGAGTGCTCCTTGCAAAGAACTGCTTCCCCCTGCTGCTAGAAGAGATCCTAGCATTCATTCAGATCTGGTGCAAGCTAACAAGAGTTTTCTTCTGTCCAACGGGAGGGGGACCCAGCTCTTACCAATGAAAGCAGTACAGGAGCAGACAATATCTAAATCTCATCTGCCTGAAAGAAACTGAAGGCAAAAATATCCAGGAGCACCAGGGGATAGTTTTGACGATATAAAAACACTAACCCAGCTCATGGCCTTTTAATTTCTGGTTCTGATAGGGCAAACTACCCTGTGGGCAAACCACAATATATGTTAATGTGATTTCCATTTTTACTGCATTATGTAAGTATCTGAGTTCTGTTTGCATCTAACCATGGCCACTGTTGTCGCACTGTCCCAGCTTTTTTAAGATTGTGTGGGTGAAGGTGAAATGGCTGGAGGCATCCTTGGCTCAACTCAGTTTTTCAGCAGAAGCTTCTCATACTGTGTTGTAGCCTAGAGTAGCCAAAATATCTACGTAGGGCTGGCAGATATAACACAGCCCTTTGAGGAGACCTATACACTTCTAGAGCGGTGGCTGAAGGTCAGGAGTAGGATTAGAGAATAGCCGGGCATCTCAGAAGGGAGGAGATGCCTGTGCTAAGGGCAACTGAATCAAGGATCCTGAGACATCTCCTTGTACAGACAGTCAGAGAGGGCTCACTGTTGCAGACTGCAAGCAGCTGGAGAGCCCACAGTTAGCTGAGCAATCTTAGATACACAAAAGCCTCCTCTAACAACGGGGCTAAGGGAGAGGACCTTTGCAGAGCAACAGCCAGTTCTTGCTGGCAGATGTATGAACACAATTTCCTCTTCCTTACAGGCATGGGTATGAAAATGGGGAAATACAAGAAGGAGCAAGAAAAATAAAAAGTGTGAAATAAGTAACCAATTTAAAAAGATTTTTCCTCTTCTGGCAGCAAAGGAATCCCTCCATAAATTAAGGCATGGCTTCAGCAGAACTGTACCCATGCACAGTGGCTATCTCACTAAAAGATGGGAGCTACAGGCAAGAATTACCTGAGGCTGCAAAACTGCATGTGAGAGAATTTAACACATCTTACTGCCTACTTGGTGGCTGAAGTGCCTCATTCTGTCACTAAATTCACTCAAGCTTTTGGGGTTGAGATGTAAAATACTTATTCAAGAATTAAAAAAAAAAAAATAAAATAAATCAAAGCCTTTATCCTCATCAGTTCCAAGCAGAAAACCTAACTGTGACAGTCTTATGCTGAACTGTTTCTTTTTTAAATGGGAGTAAAGCCAAAGTCTTTAAGTGCACCTTTCCAATTGGCAGTTTGCAGACACAAAGCAGCATGACCTCAAGCTTCGGATCCTCAACCTAAATTTGCATTGCCTGCACTGCTTTATTACCATGATTACAGGCACACAGAAGGACTACTGACACTACCTGCTTTTTTTCCAGTCATGGGCTACTTGGGTCAACTGTATCTTAATTCTTAATGATTCCTGCAGGTCACGCCTCAGGCTTGCCCGTGCCCTCTGCTCTGTAGCACGTTGTGCGCCTGAAGACTTCTGATTTCTGGTCAAGTCTCACAGCAGAAGCTCCTGCTTCATTTCAGACTTTGTACGTGGCAAAAAAGTAGAGAATTCATCCTTAATTGTATCAAGCTGATTACTGAAAGAAGACTGTGGCTTGAATTTCTATTCACACTGTAGAAGGCCAAAGTGAACTGAGGTTACTGGGATCCTAGAATTGCAATACCAGCCAGTACAGAAAATGGAACACTCTACCTTAGTCTAACGTGTCAACCTGCATCACAGGCTTTGTTTTCTGGTGTTAGAAAGGAAAACTGGGCAGTTTAGATCAGTGATTCACTTGGGATGACGTTAATTTATTTCTACTGAGGAGAGATATATATATCACTCAAAGAGGGACAGGTGGGCCTGAAGAGGGTTGATCAGAAACACAGTGTCTTACAACAAAGCCAGCTAATCAATTTGCTCTTACACTTAATGTTAAGCAAATATACAATAGTGGCAGTTCCTTGAAATTTCCACATTCCTGATTTACATAGCATGGAGAGATGATCACTTCAGGATTGCCCTCTAGCTCCTGAGTATGCGTCTGCTCAATAAAAAAATTACCTGCAACTGAGGAAATCCCAACAGCACAGCAGGTATTTTCTCCTCCACTGCTAAAATGGCTTCAATTAGTTGAACATCTGCCCAGCTGAATTTATTGCCTACAAGAAAATCTTGGCCATGTTGCTTCAAAACCTGTAGAATACAAGAGAATGTGGGCTGCAGATGAGAACGGGACAAATTATGGCTGACAGCTAAGCCTCAAAGCACAGATGCAGAGCTGAACAGCGACTGTATCTGAAATTTCAGGGTGGAGTTTTTGACTGGAAGCTCTAAGTGTAAATCACTTTGTTACGGTAAGGAAAAAAAAAATCTGAACTCTTGCAGTACACACACTACAAACTTTGGTCACTTGGTAACTATTAGTGATGACAGGCACTGGGGACAGGGACAAACCCAGGCACTTAAGTATGCTAGCAACAGTCACAGAATTAGAAACAGCCGCAATGGAGGAACTAAACTGTAACTTGAGGAATTTAAAAAATTGCCATTTAGATATTTCAGTTAAAGCTATGTCCAGTGTTGATATCAGGAAGCAAATTAGAAATTCAGGATTACAGTATTTAACCAAAACAATCCCTGCCTTTGGGAAAAGCTATTGTAGTCATTAGAACTTCTAGTATGTTCAGCCTTTATTACTGTTTTCCATCAAAATAGATGAGTGTTAGAAAAGTGAGAAATGTTGCCAGATGCCTGAGTCATAAGGGTTTGGTTTGTTGGTTTTGCAAGTGGGATGTGCGGAAATCTGTGACTGTTGTTTTACTGAAGCAATCTCTCTGCCTGTTTTATTTGCAAGAGATTTTTGCATTCTTCTAATGAATATATTCCAATTGAAAATAAGAATAGCAGAGAGATGAGCTCCAAACTAATAAAAGTGTGAAACTATGCACTTGAGGAGAAAAAAAGGAAATCATCTGGGCTTGCTTTTACTTTAGTGAAAAGTTTTGCTGTATATCAAAGAACATGTGGCTTTGTAAATGTTCAAATACCACAGCCCTGACAACATAAACCAACAGGGAAAACATGTTGCTTTAGTTCTCAGTGAGAGAGCCAAGAAAGCTGAGGATTTTGAACTGGCTTTCACTACAAACATGGTGATATCTTGGAGAAATTTTCTGATAATTGTAAATACACATTTTACAGAAACATCCTCGCTGTCACTTACCTTTTCAAAGACTGGGAAGTACCTGGTAGTTGCCTTCTCTTTAATTGAGGCCAGATTTTTCTCCTTTTCCTCAGGAGGAGAGAAAGGAAACATCAAAATCATTTGCATCAGATCTGTTATTCCTTCCACATACATGTCAATCCTATTGGTGGGAAGAAGACAGTAGAAAAGAGCACAGAAATAATTTCGTATGTTTTCCAATTCACTAAGGCAATTTGTGGGAATTTTATATCACTACTATAGTGCCAGTTTCAGAGCCAAAACTAAACATAAACAAAAACTAAATATCTCTTAAAAGGACCAGCAGCCTGTTACTGTTCAGCAGCGTTTCTGCAACAGTGGTTAAAACCTAAGCAAAGGCTAGGGTCCTTGCTTTTTGTTGTGTTAGCCTTTCAACTAGATTTAGAGGACTGAATGCTCTATTAACAGATTACTCATTAAGTGAAAGAAAGCATTACGGTACAGGGCTCTCTCCTTCAAGTCCTTCCCATAGAGGTTGTATTTCCCTGCTATGTAGCTGAGGATGGCTCTGGTCTGCACCATCTTCATCCCATCGATCTCAACCAGGGGAACTTGCTGGAACATCAGGACTCCATCTAGGGTGGAAAGTTGAGGGAAAGCTTGTTATCTCCTTCCAGACTGTTTAGCTTGATGGAAGAGTGAGAGATTGAGCATATTTAGAGAGACTATGCATATTTAGGAAGAAATTCTTCAGTACAAGGGTGGCAAGACTCTGGAACAGATTGCCCAGAGATGTTGTGGATGGCCTCTCCCTGGAGGTGTTCAAGGCCAGGTTGGATGAGGCCTTGAGCGACCCGGTCTGGTTAAGGGCATCCCTGCCTATGGCAGGGAGGTTGGATTAGATGATCTCTAAGGTTCCTTCCAACCTAGGCCATTCTATGATTTCTTTCAGAGTGTAGGAGACCATTGATGTCTCGCCCCAACTGTAAAGTAATGTTGTGCAAAACATCAAGTATTGATTAGTCTTCACGACACTTTTGTAGCTAGATCATCACTGTGCAGCCAGGCCTGTTACTTTGCGTCACTGCTGGAGCTTTGCTACCTGATTGGAATTGGCACCGCTTGCTCCTTTGGGGTTCTGGACACTGCCTTGTGCTGACAGGAAAAGCTTAAACCAGCCTTTTCAACACAAGGGATCAGAGAATAAAGATCTGTATTAAATCTGAACTTAAAAAAAACACACAAACCAAACCCAATAATAACATAACACACACAAAATAAATTAAAAAACCCCACCTAGACACACAAAGATACCCCCCAAAAAACCAACAAACCCACAATTATTCTGAATGCCGATTCATTCCCTGCCAGGGACACAGACATAGTAGCAGAAAGAATGAGAGAGAAAGTACCAAAGCAAGACAGAGCTATTGGGACAAAGGAAGAGGTCAGGCCATTTGAAATACTGTGAAACTAAAGAGTTGGGGCAGGAACTGTGACAGCAGTTGCCATTTAAGTAAGTTTTACACAGTCTCTCCACAGAGAAGAGTTTGAGAGCCCTCGCTGATTTTCTGTGTCATTCCACAACAATTTAACCCTATTTAGATATAGGTTTGTAGTCCCATGTTCTTCTGGTGCCATTAGGAGCATTTGTCCAAGTCTTCAGTGAGGCAGCTCTTAAGAGCTAAGCTGACAGATTCAGCTTCGAGAAGTCAGTCTTCTCTAGATCAGTTTTCTGCTGAACTAATTCACTCTATTTGGAGATACTCCCCTCTCCATTTAACAATCCCTTCCTGTTAAAATCATAGCAGAACTCAAACTTCAGCTAGGCAGCTGCCACTTCGCATTGCCCAGACTTAGTCTTTTAATTGCTCAATTTTAATCCCTTCAGTGCATCCTTCTTTCAGGTATAAGGATTCATTTTAACAGGCATGTTGGTGCTTTTTTCTCCACAGAGCTATTAACACACTTTACTAGTCCAAAACTAATAATCTTTCTTCTCTCATTCTATATTATTAGCTTACAGTTTTAATTCAAGGAGTTGTTCTCTCTGCAGTAAGGAGTGTTTGTTTCTTGTAAACAGTCACAAAAAGAGATTGTGTGCTTTCATGTCTTTCCAGAACACTTTTCTGCAGCTTAAGGAGTATCTATCTAGCAGAAACACAGAAGAATGGGAAAACTAACAGCTCTGCAAGGATATTTTTCAGCATGAAGTGAGAAATAAAAGTTGACTTTCTGGCTCTTGACAAAAACCAATGCAGCAAGTGTGAGTGAACTGGGTGCAGGTTTGTTCCTTATCGACAGAAAAGGGGGATTTCTCTCTTATGACCAGTAGCAGGTTGCTCCTTCAAACTTTGCAGCAAGAACCACTTCACATAACCACAGCATAGTCTATACATGCAGCATTAAAAGCAGTTTGCCAGTTGTTTTGTGGATTGGATTGTGTTGTCAGAAGGCAATCTGTGGAGCATACATTAAGACCCAATCATTTAGACCTACTATTTGTCCACAACCAGGAGAGCTTGCTCATATCTGCTTAGCAACTTGGGTAACCTGAGGCTGCACAGACTGAGCCAAGCTGTCTCTTAGGCCAATGTGTACAGGTGTTTTTATCAGGATTACTTAGCTAATTTGTCTTTCTTCAACCCACTGTCTTAAACCCAACCATTTTCTTTGTGTTCCCCCTCTCTTAAGCTCAATATAATACATAAAAAGCCTTTAATCTTCTTTATGGAACTTCCCTATCCTTTTCATCGCCATTTAATTCTCTCTGGATATGGATAAGCTGGGATGCTGTATCCAGGATTGTACCTCTCTGTCTGGATTAACTGTGAAGCAAATTCAGATCTGGGCATTCAGTACCTGGTCTATCAAATTTAGAGCTATAACTGGTATCTTTATATTACACTGCCCTCCCATATTGTTGGATTCCCAGCTAGCTGGACCTGCAACTTGAATTCTGATCTTCTTGAGGCCACTTCTTAGTTTTGTTCATTTTATTTTTGCTGTAAGAATTTCTTTACACAAAATTTTGTCTCTATGAGCAAGCAGCCAAGTCCTTTTCTAAGTCTCCTAGTATGCCCTGGCAAAGAGCCTGCTGTGAGGTTTCTCTAACGTATCTTGGGCAGCAGCTAAGCTGTGGGGCAGGCACACTCCATAGGGCTCCTCACAGTTTCAACTCCTTCCCCGTCCCAGCAGCAAGTTTTTTTTCCAGGGTGGTGTCACAGGAAAGGATTGATTTGACAAATGTTAAAATTACTGATTACTCAAAATTTATTAATGATATCAGGTATATAGGAGAGTTAGATTTTTAGCAGCACTTAATCATTAACCAGTGGTAGAATAGGTTATAGTAAATTAATTACAGATTTTTAGATGACAGGATTCAACACCAACTTACTACAATCGAAGGAGATATATATGTTTGCATGCATGAATATAGAATATAAATCTATAAAAAAAGGTATGCCTACACAATCAAATTTGCAACATGGATTTGCAACATGCCCACACTCATGGAAGAAAATACATATGCTTAAACACATAAATAAGTAGCAAGTGTGGATATAAAGGTTAACCTGTATTCAAACTTTTCCTCCTCTTGAGTTTAGAGCAGATACTCACAATTCATCATCAACATTCTTCAACTGGCTATAGTTGAGACTTGAGGATGGCTCATGACAGCTCACCCTGGCCTTCTTCAGCAGACAGCCCCAAGGAGTTTAGCACCCGAGAGGCATCCTAGCTCAGGGGAGATACTGGCCACAGCCCACTTCAGTCCAGGAGAGCTCAAAGGGTCTCACTTACAATCACTATTTATAGAGCCCGAGACAATTGGCTTTTGTCAGGTACTTTTCCATACCAGCCCCCTATGGTTGTGAAATTTTTTTTTTCCCCCATTAATCCTGCAGGCCCATGTTACTGTCACACCCAGAGAGGGTGATCTGTTACTTTGAGATATGTGTCTGGTACAAGGTACAGAGGGTTTGGGCTGTCAGGAGGTGATTTATTGTTCTTGCTACTCCCAGATAATAAGGAAGGCAGGACCCAGTCACATCAAGAGAGTACTTTCGTGCTCTGGTGGTCTCCATCCTCTATAACTACAATCCATATTCCTCTCAGTTTGCCCTCCATGCAGAAGGATTTGCACCTAGTACCAAGTATCTCTAAAGTAAAGGGGAAAAAAAAAGGTAGGAGTGACACCACCACAAGTGACTGCAGAGGTATTCACTGCTGGATTTCATCTGGCCAGATGTCAAGAGCGTTGGCTGGGGTACAAGTTAGTGTTTGGGAATTGGTCTCATTCACAGGGTTGACGTGAAGCCTTTGTGGCTTGCTATTTTGACCACGTCAGACTTTCTGCAGGTCTCTGCACTGGCTCCCTGTTATTTTAACTTGGGGAAGCTTCACAGCTCAGGCTTATCCTGCTTAGGACTGTCACTAATACGCTCACGTAGAGCCTAGCACAAAGGAAAACTGGCTTTCTTGGGGATTTTGGCACCATACTGGCCTCTCATTTAGAGGCTTATCTCACTGAGGGTCAGAACTAACGTATAGGTACATCTATACTAGTCAACAACAGTTCAGACCAGCTGGCACAGAGTGGCCACATTCACTTGATCCATCTCTCTCCGCCTATAGAGCATGGTGGTGATGTCTAAGTAACATCGTGGAAATAGCTCTTGGACTAGGATAACCCCCAAATGATGCCTAGGAATTGCTTCAGTGAGTGCTATTTGCCCTGGACCAAGAATGTGCTGTGAACCATGTTAACAGTTTAACAGCATGAGTTCCATTAAACAGGAACATTTGCTACCGCTATTTAAATACATAGTCACAGAAGTTAAGGCTTTTAGCTCACGGGAGTTGTTTGGCACTGCAAAAAACAGGTTACTCTGTACTAGTATTTCAGGATTCTAGATGTGCACCTAGATGTTTGCACTGGTTTAAATAATCTGAATTTTAAACCCACAAATTTAGCTAAATTAGAGCAGTTTGAGGGACATCAGGATTCTTACCTTTGATTAACTTTTCATATTGCTCACTTGTTTCCAGAAAAAATTCTTCAAACTGGAAAAGGAGAGAGTATAGTGTTACACTGCTGTATTTGAACTTTTTCTGCTGTAAGCGACTACTCATAACCATGTGTAGAATGTCAGAAATAAGCAAAAGATAACAGGCCAGATCTTCAACTGGCTCTTTGGCTGCAGATGTCCTGAGGATTCCCCTCCAGCATCCTCACAGCCGAGGGGGAGCAGAAGGGGCCAGCCACTTCTGGCCTCAGAGCACTGTTTCCCTGTGCCAAGGTAAACACAAGGTATATAATTATTTCTAACTCCACCCTAGGAATGGGGTTGTAAGTCAACAATACTTTTGTTTATGCACCTTGTAACTGAAAACTAAATAATTCAAGGTGATTTTGAGCAGCTAGGAAACTCAGGTTAATTAAGGGCCTTTAAATAAATCTCCATTTTGATCAATTACTTCAGGAGACTGAGACAAGCCCTAAATAAACTCTGAGCTTCACTGAGTTCCCATCCCATATATTAACCATTGGACAAGGTAGTTACAAACATTCAGTGCTACTAGCCAAATGAGTTTAGCTACCCTCTTGCAGCTGTTTTATCTTCCACACGCATTTTAAATTGTTCCTTTCTGAGGCCAGTTGAAAAAAAACCCACCAGTCTGGGGTGATATAACGAGTGTCAACTAACCTCCACACCAGCTGCTGCCAAGAGCCATCGTACGGGCTCCATTCGCCCCCTTCCGTTGAAGTAGGTAAGCCTAGGCTTCCCCGACATGCTTCCAAGACCCTTGTTTCCTGAAACATACCAAGCAGAAGACACATCTCAAAACTGGCATAAGTACTATTACTTTGGGGAGAGAGAGCCTTTTATTCTCACTATGCCTGTTGAAGTTTAAACTTCATTTGGTTTAAAACATAAGATGAGAGATGAACCAGTGACACCACACATTAGGAAAAGAAAGATATGCAGATGTGGAGTCTCCTTCTCTGGAGGCTTTCAAAACCCACCTGGATGTGATCCTGTGTGACCTACTGTAGGCGATCCTGCTCTGGCAGGGGGGCTGGACTAGATGATCTCTAGAGGTCCCTTCCAACCCCTGACATTCTAAGATTCTACGATCTGTAAAGCCTTCCCCAGTGCTATTAGGGAAGTTTGTTATGGTTATAAGCAACAACAGACAAGTTTAAACAAGTGTACAAGTCCTGAGCTACAGGGGGAAGCTTGCTGCTTTTTAAGACAATTATACAAAGCCACTGAATTTCCTGCCACGTCCTCAGGGAAGTTATTCCCTCACTCTCATTACTATCATACTCATTGAACAAGTTAAAAGAAAAAGAAAACGTGTTTCACTGGTGGGCTGAAATTTGTCTGGCTTTGTACGCCAGATGTTGAAGTGCATTTTGCAGCTTCAGCTGCCATCCACTTCTTTCCTCAAGCAGGGGCAAATGAATTGTTTCATTCCATGAAACAGGCTGACCTACGTTGGTGGTTCTATGGAATGGCTACATTTCATTTCCTTGCTGCTTACAACAGCCTGGAGTTGTCTCTCAAAGCCAGATCTGAAGGTGCCCCCAGAATTAACCCCCAAGGTACCAGAGATCTGCATGACCAGGGGACTGGGACGTCGGAAGCTCTCTAAGGCTTTCTGTGACAGCACTTCTCTCTGTACCATGAGAAAAAGCACATTTGTTTCGACCTGTTGCCTAAAGAGGGAAAATCAGCTGTTCTGTGTGCTGACACTTGAGTGTTTTTGCAAACACAGGCCTTGATTTCTTTGTGCTTCACTGCTCTAATTACTAAAAAAAAACCACAAAAAACCCCAACAACAACAACCCCACCCCCCCCCCCAAACACCAAGTTAGCATTCCCCAACCACAAAGATGTCAGTATGGTACATTAATGATTACAAGGGAAAAAAAAGCCTAAAAATGTATATCTTAATCATGTCCCAAAGGCTCAGAAAACAGAGTGCCTGATTAAAAAAAAATTACAGGTGACCCTAGTATTCTCCAAGCTGAAAGCAAGAACTACAACGCTTCATCTGTCACACTTCACACCCACATGACATTTCCTATTTTAATCACATTTAGTATGTTCTAATGATGCATTTTCTTCACGTCACCGTGCTTTGTAAGTGTACTTAAAGTGAAAGTACATTTGGAACACATTTTGCTAAAACTTGGTTTTTAAAGAGCAGTCTAAGAGTTCTCCCTTGAGCAACTCTGGTAAAAACCAAGTTGTGTTACTACAATAAATAGGAATATTTGGGATAATATAAAAAATACAATGCAAACACATATAAAGGAAAAAAGGTGATCGTTTCTAATTTTAAAAGTGCTAATAGCTGTTACTAATTAAAATGTTTTGCCTCTAAGACAGTGGTTTTATTAGTTTCTGCACATTGTGTGCTTAGCTTTCACTCTGTGGCAGTGCAGTTTAGCTGTCCTGAACTACATAGATAACTTGTGCCTCTTTCATTATCATATTTCTCAGACACATTGCATCCATATCAACACATATTGCTCCAACTTGTAATGTGCAGAAACTTGCAGTAAATAAGACTTTCTTTTACTAAAAAAATCCAAAGACTGCAACACCAAGAATATGAAACTTAATCCTCTTGGAAAAATTATCTATTGTTTTTAGAACAAAAGCAGAGGGAATGAAACACCTTAGGAATCATTTTACAAGAACAAGAAGCTCTATGCGGCATTAAATTCTGTGAGAAAAACAATGATAAATGAAGAATAAAATCCTGTCATTAACTTTTTTTTAAATTAAGAATAACTGTCAGCTGTAAGTAGATTTTAATTGTCTTAAGCTTCTGTGACAGAAAGATCCTCTTGGATTTAAGTACAGTCTCCTCAATCTTTAGATTGATCTACTGAATGTATCTCTATTGACTATACAGGGAGCTGACATATAGCTCACAGACAGGGACATTTTGGTGCCTGGGTCTGGGCCCAAGTCTTGCCTGAGGGCTCAGTTTAGTTGCCCATTCCTATATGACTTGCGACACTTGAAATTTCCTTAAGGCAGGCAGATACAACCCTTGACTTACTGGAGAGAGGACAGCTTTAATTGTCTTAAAGTATATCTATTCGTCCAGACTCTCAATGCCTTTTTACATTTATCTGGGGAAAGGTAATAGCTAACAGAAAACTCTCCCGCAGGATTTCACTTAGTCCTCTACTATTTTTCTAAAATTGTAGTGAAAGACTTGCAGGATGTTGTGTTCAAAAAAAAACACAAAAAACCAAAAAGACACCACCACAAACCAGGTTGATCTATGTTTTTGATACAAAATGCTGATGAT